CCCCATGACTCTGTTTCAATTGGACCGGCAACATCACTATGTACTAGTTCAAGCAAATCGTTTGCTCGCTTACATTTCTTTCGATGTGGAAATTTCTTTGCACACTGCTTTCCCTGGCTGCAGGCCACACAATGAACTTTGTTATCAACCTTCCCAAAATTAATATCCTTAATCATACCTTTTAGTTTGTTCATCTGAGGATAAGATAAATGACCTAACCTCCTGTGCCACAACTCATAGTCATCGTGACTACAACTGCTATCACCTAAAAGAACTGCCGGAAACTTGTTATTATCCGGACCTAATACATATAACCCGTTTTTGCGTGGTGCTGTAAAAAGAGGTTTACCTATAACATTAACAGTATCATTAAAAACTTTACAACACTTTTTATCAAAAATAATAACCTTACCACTTTCAGCAATCTTGCTTACTGAAATCAAATTAGTTAATAACTCAGGGATAAGCAATACATTACTCATTTTCACATCTGTGGTACGTCCCTCGTGATTAATCTTCAAATCAACAGTTCCTTGTTTGTTTGAAACAATTTTGTCTTTATTTGCACAGGTAATAAATTTTGCACAAGATTTTTCTGGTTTCAAAATGTGTTCATTTGATGTCATGTGGGACGTAGCACCAGAATCTATAACCCATCTATCATTACTTTCATAATTACTAGTTAAAAAGGTTACAAACTCCTCAGAGTTGTCATTTGCAAGACAAGATTTCGGCTGAACATCAATATTATTTTTCAATTTTTTACATTGAGACTTATAATGCCCTTTCTTTTTACAATAATAACAAATTATAGGCTTTTGTATTTTCTTTTTGTCATTAGAACTGGACACTAGTACCGATTCGTCCTTGTTTTCATTCATCCCACTATACGTTGGTTGACTTTGTCGCTGCCCTTCTTTAAGTATTGCGGCGATTACGGTCTCAGACGAAATTTTTGTTCCTGAATGTTCCAAAGCCATCACTAGCGGATTATACGAATCTGTCAAACCAGCTAACATTATTATACTTAGAAATTCATCATCCAAACCAGCTTTAATCGTTACGAGTGCTTGATGTGTCGCTTGGATATCTGTAACGTACGCTTCCATACTAGGGTAGCTCTCTAGTTTCACGCTGAACAATTTTCTAAGTAATGTTAATCGACGCACCAAACCTGCATCCGCATATGCTCTCTTTAATGCTAACCAAGTTTCTTTAGCATTTTTTGCTTCAGCAATTAGTGGGTAAATTTTCTCCTCAACGCTCAGGCATATTTTGGCCCGTGCTTTAGCATCACGCTTCTGATTGTCTGCTGTCAAAACAATATTTTCTTCCTCTACGCAATTCCATAAATCATGTTCCACTAGGATCATTTGCATAGCGAATGACCATGTTCCATAGTTGGAATGACCTTTTAGTTTTGTTATGACTGACTCTTTCTGCATGATTCTAACGTTTTATTGAAATGAAATGAAATGAAAATATCTTTATTCAAGTAGGCTATTACAAGCACTTTTGAATCGTCCAAAAAACTTTTTTCCCCTACCACTTGTTCAGGACGTCTTTTAGCTGACAAGAAGAACAAGCGAAAGAAACTTATCAGCTTTTTATCATAAGTAATGACATTTACATAAATCATGTCATTACCAAAATAATATGTATTATCAATTTATCACAATAGTAAATACAACTTTCAAAGTCTGTAGGACATAAGTTGAACATATAATTAGTCTTTATAGAACAAAGCGAAGGCTATTAATTCCATGCATTGCGATCCTTAAAATAATCATCAACTTTATAATAGCCTTTACTCACAAGTATATTCTTTACATGAATTTGAAATTTATTTATGGGTAGGTCAATTACATTTTGTGGAACTTTATTGAACATAGCAATACATTTACCCAGAAATGATCCTCTGGTTTTTTGAAGTCTGAAGCTTGGAACGGCAAGTTTATCTTTATTTCTTGTGTTAAGATTATGAACACTACTTTTTTTTGTGAAGGAATCGTAATGTTTTCTTGTATACATAATATTCTCATAGATGTATTGAGAGGCAACAGTCAGAATATTTATTTCTTTAAATATTTCTCTTAGAGATTCCCTAGACCGTAAATTATATATAGCACGGACAGCTCTCTTTTGTAAAATAAAAACATCCTGAATGCTAGCCGCAGAACCCCATAACAATATACCATACGTCATTACACTATGAAAATAACTAAAATATACCAATCTTGCCGTTTCAACATTTGTCAAGAGTCTAATTTTCTTAACAGCAAAAGCTGCAGAACTCAGTCTACTTGACAAGCTATCAATATGAGGATCCCATTGCAGTCGGGAATCTAGTGTAATACCAAGGAACTTTGTCGATTCTACTAACTCAACTTTTTCACTATTTACATTTATAAGTGTACTGACATGCCTCACATTAGGTAATGCAAACTTTATGCATTTCGTTTTATTTGAATTGAGCTTTAAATTATTATTATCAAACCACTGTAGAACGTTGTCGAGAGCATTATTTACATCGTCAAAACAATCATTACCCCTCTCAACTTTAAACAGTAAAGAGGTGTCATCTGCAAATAATACTGTCTCGCACAAATTCTTCGTAAAGTGAGGAAGATCATTTATATAAATTAGAAAAAGCAATGGTCCTAATATCGATCCCTGAGGTACGCCCATAGTAACTGGTGCCCCTGCAGATTTCGCTTCATTGATTACTACCTTTTGAATTCTAGCAGAAAGATATGATCTTATTAGATGAAGTGAATTTTTCGTCACACCATAATGTTCTAATTTCCCCAACAGTGTTTCATGACTAACGCAGTCGAATGCTTTTGATAGATCACAAAAAATGCCAATAGCATCTTGTTTATTCTCCCAAGCATCATAGATATGCCTCAGAAGTGCAATTCCAGCGTCTGTTGTACATTTACCTCTGCTAAAGCCAAACTGATTTTGGTGAAGTAATTTATTTAATGAAAAGTGTGCAAGCAGTTGATTGTACATCATTTTCTCAAATACTTTACTTAACGCTGGTAGAATAGAAATTGGTCTGAAATTACTAGGATCAGACTTGTCGCCTGCCTTGAAAAGTGGGATTATTTTACCATATTTCATTAAATCAGGAAAAGTTCCTTCATCAATGCACTTATTAAAAATAAAAGTTAATTGAGGTGCTATAGCTGGTATTATAGATTTGATAACATAAGTTGAAACGCCCCAAAGATCTTCGGTTTTTTTGACATTAATACAATTAAATGTTTTAATAATTGAGCAGACGTTAACGTGTCTAAAATAAAATTCAGTATTGCACTTATCAACAACTGACTCTAGATGCGTAACCGCAAGTTTAGAACACGAACTAAGATTTCTTGTGATTTCTATTGGTGTCTTAGAAAAGAATTTCTCAAATGTCTCGGCAACCGCTTCATCTGTTTTAATAATTTTATTGTCAACCTCTAATGAGTATGTGCGCATATTACTTTTATTTTTACCCGTTTCTTGATTTATGATAGTCCAGGTTGTTTTTATTTTATTTTCTGAATTGTAAATTTTTTCAGATATATATTTTGCTTTTGCTGAAACACATACTTTCCTAAAAATTTTCGAATAATTTCTGACATATTCAATAAAATTTGGATCGGTCGAGGTACACTTTAGCTCATACAAATCATACAGCCTATTTCGACTTTTGTAGATGCCAGGTGTAGCCCAATCACTAAATTTCTTTTTTTGGTTAGTAAAGTTAATTGTTTTGAGTTTAAATGTTTTATCAAATTCTCCCTTTATCAAGTTAAAGAAATTATTATAAACATCATTTATATTTTCCAAATTACTAGTTGTCAACTGAGTATGATTTGCAGAAACACTGTTTTTAAATTTTTCTAAATTACTTTTGGTAATAGGTCTACAAATTATATTGCATTTAGGAGAAACATGATGGTGCTCGAAAGTTGCTAGAACTCCGCTATGGTCAGATTGAATACAATTTATTATCGATTTTTTGAACACCTTACATTTACAAAAAATATTATCTAAGCAAGTAGCAGATGTGGGTGTAATGCGGGTAGGTTCATTAAAAATATTTTCTAAATTAAAACATTTAAACAAGTTCAAAAATCTACTTGATTTAGCACATTTTATTAAAATATCTATATTAAAATCACCACATATCACTACTTTCTTATCGACTTTGCAAATTAATTTAAATGCATCCTCCATAGCAGATTCAAATTGACAGTAGTCCCCATCAGGTGGTCTATATACACATATAATAATATACTGTTCAAGTTCCACACATGACAATTCAATATGTCGCTGAATTGAGAGGGATACTATATCTTTACGTTCTTTACATTTTAAATAATTACTTATTATTATTAAAGAACCCCCTCGTATGGCATTTATCCTACAGAATGAACTTATAATTTTATAATTTTTAAAACCCGTAATTAATTCATAATTTTTGAGCCAGTGCTCTGTAATACATATTATATCAATATTCATACTATTTAAACACATTTCTAATTCTATTAAACACATTTCTAATTCTAAATTCACTCCACTCCACTTTCCTGAAAAACTACATAGGGCCTGGGCCCATAACCTGTTGTTTTTGTGGAAATATACAATGTAGCAAATAAAGGATTGTGGAGTAAACGTATAAAGTATTTTATTAATAAAAATAATATAATCCTTAATGACAGAGAAAATTTTTTTTAAAAACAAAGATAATAAACAAAACAATAACATAGCAACCAAAATCATTTCTCTATGACTGGACGTATCGGTATTCAACCTTCATTTTTAACAGTGTTTGTAATAGGGTTCTCAATACACGATGGATAAGCCCTCGATTGTGCAAGGTTCATTGTCATATGTTGGTCAGTCCTGATGTTTATGATGTCTGACATCCGATGATAAAGCGACGCATTTTATTAGATATATAACTTAACCAAAACTGAATCCTGGAAATAATCTATAATTAATAGGTGCTGCATTTCAACCTGGTGCAAAGACTGTCATCCCAGGCAAAGTGATTGGTAAATTTTCTATAAGACTGGTGCCCAATCAAGAACCCGAAGAAATTGAACAACTCGTATTTGATTACATCAACAAAAAGGTGGGTGTTATTCAACAACTAACATCAGCATACATTTGTCGTTATAAAATTTGTTATTTTAGTTTCAAACAGAACATTGAGTGAATAATGATCGTTTGTTATCTCTGTATTTGAGCAATTATTTACATTGATATATTATGTTTCGTGTTGTTGGAACTGTATCGGTTGTTGCTATCGTAATTCAAACACAGTATATAGTCTTTTTATTTTTAATCATAAATGCTACTTTTGTTATCAGTAATTTTATCGAAATTGTTTCATATGATTACTTTTGAGTCTCTTCATCACAACGTTGTAGTGACTCAGTGGTTACACTACATATACAAATTATACAGATATCGTAGTATTAACTTTATATTAATTAACTAATACACAAATGTAAAATGTTCGGAATTCATTTATTAGTATCTCCAATGGTATACAATATTTTCATATTAGTTGTAAATAACTTATTGATCCGTCTAGTCCAGTCAGCAGAAAAAAGCTTTCCTGGTCGTAAAATTATAGCAAATACATAGTCATACTATGATTTGGCAAGCGATACACATTTAACTTTGATTCATAATTATTCCAATTATAGGTTAGATTACGTTATAACAGTATTTAGTCACAACAATATGAGACTAGAACATTTCATTGGAATATTCGGGCAGTAAAATTAATTCTATTTCTAATCTATAAACAAAAATATATTTTTGTAGTCTGTGTCTCAAGTCTAATGTAACACCAATCAGAGCACGTGAAATCATGTGGGTAAATTCGTAGGAAAACTATCTAGGATAAACGCGAGAAACATTCAAAGTGGCAAATCATTTAAATTATTTATTTAATTTTACACAAGTTACAAGGTTCAGTTTTCTGTTTTATGTATTTGTGAGTTTGAATATCCTGCTAAATACGATAAATCATTTTATTTTCACTTCAATCCCTTTACTTACCCACAAATGACGTTACGTCCTTTGAGTTTTTAAAAATACTTTATATTATGTTGATATAAACAATAATACGATTTTGCGAAGCCCTTCTTGATTCACGGTTCTGTTGTTTATTTGTTTTCGGCCAATATACATATAAAGACCGCTGTGAAAATATGTTAGGAAATGGAGTGATTTGGTAATAATGCATCTTTGGTTTTGACGGTACTTTTGTTTTTTATTCGGGAGTTGTAGTCTTAGGAGATCGCTGACTTTCTCATAATGAGCATAGTTAGATTTCTGGGCTGTCCACTAATGTGAATAATATCAGTCTGTCTACTCTCAGTGGTTGCTAAAGACCAACTTATTTCACTGTGGAGATACCACACTTCCAATAGGTACTAAAATATAATTTTTTATTGATAGGTTTATATATCGATACAGTTAAATTTCTTGTAAGTTCTAAAACACCGAGTTGCAACCATGAAAACAGGCGGACTGACGTCCTATACATTAGCGTACTGCTCTATACTATAACATGTAAAAGTATATTTCACTATTTTCATGACAGTTATGGAAAAAGGGTATTTCACTCTATTTAAATAATCCTTGTAACTGTTTATTTTAATTTAAAAAAGCCATAAACCAAATATTTCCGAAAAACTACACTTGTTTTATTGCCTTAAAATTAAATCAAAATTTTAACTTTTTTTAGACCCGCGAAAACGCTGTCCGTAATATTCATGACGTTATTGTGATACGTACACAAACCTTAAATCTATGCACAAAACAGATGTATAGAGTAGAAGATAAAAGATGTTAATAAAACATGAACAATGCCATCTAACGATCGATTACGAAATAAAAAGTTATAGTATATATAATAATAGGTTAAGAACAGCGCCATCTAGGAATCCGATTTATTATTAATAGGCATATCTTTATGACATTTATGACAGCTGTCTCCATAGTGGCGTCACACAAGTCACGTGACACACTATAAGACTTGAGATAATCGTCCGATTTTAAGACTAAAAATCAGAATCTCTATGTTTATTACTATGTAAATTTTAGTTTTAATGCAATTTCGTAACTTACTTTTCACCATTGAAAGTATCCTATCTTTTTACCTCTATAATTTTTTATTATTTTATTTTTGCCAGTGGAAAGAGCGCGGGTCCCCAAACAAAATGCGCATAACTGCACAGAGCGGACGCGCTTGGACCGAGAACCCAGACCATCCGCACTACCAGGCGGCAGCACGAGCCACCAAGCTTATTTATCAGGCACGTATTCTTAGAACACCACCATTATACACAGAAATATAGGGTATTCTACTCATTTTGAAATAATACTTGTAACTGTTCATTTTAATTAAATAAAGCCATAAAACAATTATTTAGGAAAAATAAACACGTTTCTTTTCTTAAAATTAAATCGAAATCTAAACTTTTTAATACCTGCGAAAACGCTGTCCGCCAAATTCATGACGTCATTGTGATATGAACACAATGACGTCATGAATTTAGAAAAAACAGATGCATATAGTAGTAGATTCAAAGATTTCAATAAAGCAAGATCTAACTATCTACAGATCGATTACGAAATAAAAATATATAATCAAGCTACAAACAGCACCATCTAGGAATTTGATTTATAAGTAATAGGTATACCTTTATGACTAATCTGATAGTAGTCGCCACAGTGACATCACACAATAGCGGGACGTGTTTCAAGACACTTGACACACTGATTAAAAATCGTGACTTTTAATTTTAAGATAATAGGATAATATCAAAATCAAAATCTCTGTGTTTATAACGATGTAAATTTTAGTTTCGTGACTTAATTTCACTACCGAAACTACCCTATTATTTACTAATAATATTTCATTTCATTTAATTTTGACAGGGCTTCAGTTACGTAGTATGTCTGATTAGTTGTAAAGCCTATCAACGTGACATTAGCATAAATGTGTAAACGCAAATAGATCATAAATTAAAAAAGAAGAAGAGTCGCTGATGCGTACCCTATCGATCAATTTAAATGAGCATTGCAGATAGCATTGTATATGCAGAATGAATATTTTAATATATTTTTTTTTACAGACTGACCCAGACATGTCGCGGGAAGGGGGGTCGATACCTGTGACTATTACGTTGCAAGAGGCGAGCGGCAAGAACGTGTTATTACTGCCAATGGGCGCCGGTGATGATATGGCGCACTCGCAGAACGAGAAGATCAACGTGCGCAACTACATAGAGGGCGTTAGTATACTATACCTGCTATCTAATGTTACATGTAAATATGCAGTCTGAATCGCTGAAATTAGGGAATTTAAACCTTAACGCGTTCGGTCTGCGATGTGGAAGTTAGCAATTTGAGGACCAGACATGGTCCTTAAATTGCTTAACTTCCAAATATACTAATAAACTAAAGGTTAAGTTGGTCCTGGCTGCATCTGCAGTCACCCACCAATCTGCATCTGGCTATTGTGATACTACCTATTACATTTGATACTATTAAATCCATAGGGATCTGTCCCAGCAGCGGGCACATTAATAGGCTGATGATGATGATAATTGCTGATCACATTTTGTGACGTACTTTACGAATTACCTCTTCGAATAAAAAGAAAACTATTGATCTCTACAACCTCTGAAGTAGAGTGTTTCGCACACCAATTTCAAGAGTCCCAGATTGGGTAAAAAGAGGGTTTAATGAAGATACTGATTTTTTTAATTATCTCTAGTCTGCGTATTGTGGTGATACATTTTATTGTTTCATATTTTCATAACGTGAGGGTTCGAAGTAATGTACGTGATGTTGTCTAATCTGATATTTATAATTAACTCTTTTATGATCAAGTGGAATCTAATTAAAGTTTATTTTGATTACAGATAAAACTATTCGCCGCATATTTGTACGAAGTTGGAAAATTACCTAAATGAAAGTCGGGACAACCAACAAGAGCAGTGATTAGACATAGTCCTCAAATTGATTAGATTAGATAAGCAAGTAAAGAAGCACACCATGGCATTGATACATTCCCAATTCTGAAGTACAATTTTTGATAGATTTTTTTATGATATAATAATAACATAATAATTCTCAGTAGGAATAATCAGTGCCTTATATGTTTTGATTTTATATTATTATTTTTTATTTTCTGACTTTTTTGAAATAAAGGTTTTATTTTTAATGCGAATTTTTGTTATTTATTTCATTTGTCCTTGAAAGTTTTGTACTCTGAGCTTACTCTCTTAACGAATATTTAAATTGGAGTGTCTGTTTATAATATTAAAATACTACCTATTACTATATGCATATATACGGTACATATACCGTTACGTAGGTTCGGAGGTCATACCGACGAAGACATCAATAGTGTGTTGCCGCCTCTCGTCCAGCGGATCGGGGCGTTGGGCCGACAGACACAATTATGGTATACCTACCGTTCGGAAAATCTGTCATATATATTTATATATGGCTGCGCGCATTAAATAATGTTTTTTAGCCATATCAATATAAAATATTTTATCAATTTTGTTTTACAATGCTATATTAATTAACCTTAAAGAAAAATGTATAAACGCTCATTAACCAGGAACCCCATTGCGATAGGTTATAAATTCGTAGACTTTCTTTTGTTCTTTAGTAGGCTTGGTTTTGGTAGCAAAGTCAAATTCAAAAAGCATATAAATGTTTTCTTAAAGCTGGCGAGACACCATTTCCAGTTGTCTTGGATATTTTAGAATTTGGGAATATTTTTTATTCGGCTAATAGTGATGCCGATAGGGAAAGTCAAAAGTCCAATACAATATCAATATTAGTTACTAGGAAAGAAGGTACACAATATTAAGGTGGTTGTTAGTACACATCGATATTTGGCTGTAGCTGATAATTTAGGTGGCCGATATTAAAATTTAAAGTTGCACCTAATCTGAAGTTTCCATTACCAAAGCGCTTGTGCCTTATCTTCACTTTTTGTTTTAATCAAAGTTCTCTTCTCATTTCTAAGTAATATGACATAAAGCATATCACATTTCATTTACAAAAAGTGGCTCTGCTTCTTTAGTATAACGTGAAAGAGCATGCAAGAATAAAAAAATGCAAATGTAACCCGGCTTTAAGTAGGTTGGTTTCAAAAAGAGACTTGGTGAAAGTAAGTATTTAACGTTGTATTTAAATCATTTGTACGCAACAGACAATAGAATTCAATCAATTGTTAATATCAAATAAGCGTTTCTCACTATTTAAGCTGGGAATCTATGGTTTAGAGTTTAGAGAAGGTTTAGAGAACTATATCATGTTCGTTAAACAACGTTCAGCTTTCGTATTCATAATTAAGAAAAAAGACACTCAAGTTGTGATAATCTGTTTTGTTTGTTCAAAGAATATATGAAAAAACACAAAAAACGACGTAAAATTCATTTTGCAATTAATATACTGCAAGATAAGGGGAAATGTAAGTATTAAGAAATTACACAAGAAATCGCGGCATATTGTGAAATGCCCGGGAAGATCTCGATCGGCCCGATTGAAAGATTGGCCCGCGACATATACATAAGTATAAAACAACCTCTCTTGCCCTTTGTCATTACGCTAATATACACACAACAGGATTTTAATGCAGTTTTCAGCAGGGCGGAGTCTCTGGCGCAAAGTTAGTGTAGTGATATTCTGAAAACTTAAGAAAGTCCATAAACATTATCCTCTAATGCACCTGAAACGAGTGTTTTATTATTTATATAATAGGGAGTCACTATTTCATTTTTCAGACCTCTACAATCAAAATTTTTGGAAGACTCATAATTTATTTTTTCTCCTGGTTTAAAGGGATGGTAGGTAAAAGCTCCAAGTTTTAGAACTTTTCTGTTATCTGTCTTTATCGCCTTTCTATTACGAGGGTCAAACTGAAAGTTCTTAGAACTGGCCACTTATAAACAATATAATAAAAAAATAATTCTAAAATTTGAAAATATAACTCTTTGCCAATATTACTGAGTATATATTTCATTCATTTGTCATTTGTTTTACGATTTGGCGGCAAATTGAAAATTGTCTGTGTCACGTCATCATGAATTTAACACGAGAAAATTTTCGTGCAATGATTTTTTATGACTTTCGATGTCATTTAAGTCAACAAGAAAGTTATGATAGACTACGATTGGCCTTTCACGATGAAGCCCCATCTCGTGCGACTGTTTACAACTGGTTTAATGAGTTTAAACGTGGTCGCACTAATCTCACTGATGATATACGTGAGGGACGGCCTTCTACGGCGACGACTGAAGATAACATCTGTGTTGTGCGGCGTATGATAGAGACTGACAAAAGAGTGACCTATCAACAGATTCGGACAAGCTTAGGCATCGGTATGAGTCAAGTGCACAAAATCCTCCACGAACATTTAGCGGTCAGGAAGCTTTGCGCCCGGTGGATACCTCATAATTTGACTGAGGCTCAAAAACTCCATCGTGTGGATTGGTGTCGTAAAATGATTGAAAGATTTAACGGAGGTGACTCAAATGCTGTGTTCGACATACTAACAGGTGACGAAAGCTGGATTTACTGTTATGATCCTAAAACCAAAAGACAATCTGCTCAGTGGGTGTTTCCTTTCGAGGAGTTGCCAACTAAAGTGAAGAGAGATCGAAGTGCGGGAAAAAAAATGGTGGCCTCGTTCTTTGGAAGGATAGGTCATTTTGCAACAATTGTGTTAGAGGATCAAAAAACAGTTTTTGCAGAATGGTACACTACCAATTGTTTGCCACTTGTCTTGGAAAAAGTTCGAGAGAAACGACCTCGCAGTAGGATCCTCATTCACCACGACAACGCCTCGTCGCACACCGCCAAGCGAACGATCGACTATTTGGCGACATCAAACGTTGAATTACTGGGTCACCCGCCGTATAGCCCCGACCTCGCGCCTTGTGATTTTTATTTATTTCCAAAAATTAAAGAAAAACTTAAAGGAAAGCGGTTTATGAATGCTGAAGAAGCGGTGGCTGCGTATCGCGATGCCATTGAAGAGACCCCTAAGGACGAGTGGGCAAAGTGCTTTTCCCAGTGGTTCCATCGCATGCAGCGGTGTATTGACGTGAATGGACAATATTTTGAAAAGATATAATAAAACTAATAACTGGCTAATGTAATCAGTTTTTGATTTTCTAAGAACTTTCAGTTTGACCCTCGTACTTCAGGAGGTGCCCTTAGAGTTTTGATGAACACCAGTTTCTACTCTGTCAACAGTGAGATAATAAAGAACATTAGTTTTTTTATACAATGAGGAAGTATTTTAAGAAAAAAAAGAAAGCACTAAAAAGCACCTCACTAGTTGGCGACCCTAACAAAAGTTCATTTTTGCAGTGAAAAGAATGGACCAAAGATAGCCATTTCCGTTTCTTTTAACTAACATATTAAAAAACTGTAATTTGAAAAGTTCGAAACATAGATATTAATACAAATACGAAAAAGTACAAACAGAATAAGAGTTATTTATTGAGTTTTGAACATTAATTTATTTTTATACATGAAAGAAAACCGGAAGGGTTGTCATGGAGAAATCAAGAAAGTACCGAAGCGATATCTAGTTTGATTTCGGGAACTATTTATATTCTTTATCATTGAAACTTTTAATTTATTATAAAAATAAACAATAATTTTCAGCGACAACCTCAGTCCTATACCATTTTGAATGATAAGAATTTTAGAAGGGTCGGTTGGAATTGGTGAAAACACATGTATAGTCGTTGGTTAAAAAAGACAAGTAATGAGGACGCAGCAACATGATGGATCAAATAGAGAAGGTTTTGCCAATAATCTCGTCTACGTTAAAAATATAATAAAAGGTGTGTGCCCTATAAGCTCACATAATTTGTGCTGGCGTTCCATAACTATATCGATGGATAAAAGATTTTACCGACTTTTTAAAGACTAACGGTCAGTTGCATAAACGTCCATTAAGGTTTAATGACGCCTTCAAGATCTAATGAATGTCAATTTTGTATGGGAAATGTTGCTTTAACGTAATGAAAATTGTAATTAACGTTTGTGCAACTGGCTGTAAGCTCTATAAATCTATTTATATTGTTCATATTTTATTTCAAGTGGAATAAATGACTAAAAATACCTTTAAAGTTTTTGTTCAATAAAATTGCGCGGAAGAGTATGAAATTCTGTAACAGAACAACTATAGAATGCTAATATTTTTTTTTTATAATAGTATGTGTTACACAACCACTTTTAAATTTGAAATTTAAAAAAAAATATAGATAATTGTTCAGTAACGATGTGCCGTATCAACGTTTATTTAGTCCTAGGTATCCGCATGTAAACTTTTTGTTTTTGATCTTCAACATCGTTTATTTTTATTATTCACCTTTCGTAATTTGAAATATTATTATTATTAATTTTTAATAAAGTCGTGATTTTTACGTTGCCGTATTGCAATAGTTTGTCATATGAAGAAAATAATTTACGATACAAACTGAATATGACATTGAACACTATATGCAATATTGGTAAGTTTCATGTCATTGATACTAATAAGTAGGTATGTCAGAAAATTATATTGTATCAGCCAAAAATTTGGCATACCTGATTGCTCCTATTGAGCACTCTTCTATTGACTTGACTGTCAGTAATAATTCTACTGATATTTCGACAAATTCGTCTTTAAATCAGATAATAAGACAATAGAGGATTCCTTGCTATTGAATAGACAAATCAATAATGGAACCAAGAGTTTATCAGTCATTAACGTGGTGCACCAAAATGTTCAAGGAATGTTGAATACTGATATTTTCTGTATTACGGAACATTGGTTAACAAGTTATAATTGTATTTATAACTTCAATAATCACCTGGTTGGTAGCTCGTTCGTTTGGAAAAATGCAATGCGTGGTGGCACACTAATTTTATTAAATAAAAAGTTTAAATTTAAAGGACGTAGATATATAGTAGATAACTCAGATATAATGAACCTATCGGATGAGGAAATAATAGAAATTGCCTGCATAGAGTTGCACCAGCTGATTGTACTGAGCGTATATACAAAGACCTCCTTCAAGTTTAGTTTCTTATTATGATCTTTTTGAAACAGCTATGGATGAAACATTAAAAATGGTATATAGCAAACGATTAGTGATTGGTGGTGATTTCAATGTTGATTTATTAGGAAATTGAAACATCGATATTGACATCGAAGTCAACATTCGATGAAAACCATCGATGTT